GCAGCTGAGAGCGAGCACAACTCTCAAGGCTACCCTATAATACACAAATTCAAATTCTCACTTCATCCAAAGGAGAAAACTTTCTAAATGTCCTCTGGGGTCCCTGGAGAAGTTGGGAAACGATCAGTGTTAAGTCCACAAACAGCTAATTCTCCTCTCCTGCTCTGAAGATGCCAAGGACACAGATCAAGTCACCGTAGGCAATATGTGTTAGAAAGGCAGTCTGCAATGGAATGCACACACTACTTTCTCAAGGTGAAGGCCTTGAAATGCTCCCTGACAAGGATCAGAAGAGCCTGAGGAAACTTATAATAAACAGTTAAAGTAATCCCTGAGCCTACTAAACATACAGATTCCCTGGACTCTGCCTTCGGAGGTTCTGAATCCACGGGCCCCAGTGGGGTCTGGAAATCTGTATTTATACGAAGTTTTCCAAGCGGCTTTGATGATCGGCCAAGTTTGGGAATGGTTGCTTTGATTTTCATTGTGATCTCTTTTTTTTCTGCCTGAGGTTGCTTAAGTTCAGAAACAGAAGAATAAACAGATAAAGCTTGGAGGTAAGAATTGAAAGATACAAAAATCAAGAATCAGAAAGTTTAAGTGACTTGCCAAGTTGACACAGCTAATTAATGTTCAAACCAACAAGCATTTGTTAATTATACAATCTATGCAAGGCGCGGCACACAGTCTGGTGGAAGTAAAAGAAATGTAAGATCTAGTCCCTGTCCTTGTGATCTAAACACAGGACACAAACTCAAAAGCAGCCTGGTGACACAGTGTGAAGCGGGCTGGGTGTAAGGCAAAAGAGAGTAGTGGGGACCGTGGTAAACTACAGACAATACAGCGAGCATCTGCTACTCAGCTCTAGCTTCTCGTTGCATATAAGTTATGGGTCTAGAGTAGCCAGATATCCTGTTTTTTAAAAGAAGCCAGAAGTTTGCATTTCCTGGTTTTTAATTACAGCAATTCATTCAATTCAAAAAAAAAAAAAGGAAAAAATTGTAAGGGCCATGCGAGATTCATCTGTAGGCTGACTCCCACCCATGGAATGACAGCTTGCAGCCTCTTTCCTAAAAGGTCATCCAGTCCAACCTCCCTTGAACTCAAATCCCCTCTAAGGCCCTGCAAAGTGACAGAGGATGAGCAGTCCCATCTAGCAGGTGGTTAAGTAAGTGCTTGGTGTGTATATGTGTGTACAAAGGGTGGAGCTTCTGGCCTCCCCCTCTCCCTCCTAGAAATGCATTCCAGGCCCAGAGGCAGGGTGTGGCCCCTGCAGCCTAGCAGCCCACTCAGAGATGACCCAGGAAGGACCACAATCTTCAGGCCAATAGGGACTGGCTGACTGAAGAGTCCAGCTGGAAGAGGTTACAGAATGAAAAGTGTAGGAAGGAAAGCTCTAGAGAAAGCCAGAGAGCAAAGCTTTCCTGGAAAGAAATGTTGGAAAGGAAAGAAGAACAAAGAGGCAAGAAAGAAGCATGGGCTCTAAAAATCCTATAACCCAAAATATAACATCCCCAGAATATAAGATCCTAGCCAGCCATCGGCAGTCTGGCTACTCACCATCACTTGGTCTGCTTCATTTTTCTTCACAATACTGACTACTACCTGACCTTTATTGTATGTATATTGATAGGCTTATTTTTCTTTCTGGATGCCCCCACTATAACATACAGCTCCAAGAGAAGGCAGCTTGTCTACTTTGTTTAGGGTTCAGTTCCTAGGGTCTGGAACAGTGCCTAGCACATAGTAGGTGTTTAGCAAATATCTGTTGGACAAATGGACTGCAGGCAAGCGATTGGCAGCAAAACAGTTTAGCATTACGTGTCAAACACATAATAATAACATCAGCACAACGCACTTTATCATTTACAAACCCTGTCATTTAACGTAATTCCTCCAGTTTTCTTTTACCAAATTGCTTCATGTGTTTGGACATGGCCCAAGAGACTGCTGGCCTCTACAAGGCAGACAGCCCAACAGCCTCCTTGGACAGAGCTGTCTGCACAGCAGTTCGGCCCGCTCTCTCTCCAGAGCCTGGGAGAGGATGTGGCTGCAGACCTGCAGGGCTCAGTGCTGATCAGGCCATGTCCAAACACATATCGAAATGCCCCAGCATTCCGGGGCCAAGTTCATTCCACCCCACCTCCTTCCCCAGTTTGATGGAGAGGCAGCCATGACATAAGGTTAAAGCTTTGGCTCTAAAGTTAGCTTCCCAGCTGCATGACCTTAGACCTCCCCAAGCCTTGTTAACCTCATCCATCATGTGGGCATTACAATAAAAATTACTTCAAAGGATTCCTGTGCGAGTTCAATGAGACAGTTCACAAAGCGCATCCGGCACCGTGCTATCGCACGGCGATTGCAGCAACAGCACTGTCATCGCCGCAGGCTCCAGCTCTGCCACTTTCTAGTGCCATGAGCCTGAGAGACTTGACTTCCTCCTCCCTGGACCTCAAATGCCTCTTCTCTAAAATGGGCAGAACACAGCCACCAGGATCAGGTATGGAACAAACAAGATCATTCATGTTAAACACTTAGTACAGGGCCTGGGACCTATTAGATGCTTAATAAATCTGAGCTAGTGTCTTATCCTAACTCCAGAAACGTTTCCTAGCGTAAAATGCCAATGTGAAAATCCTCCAAAGGCAGCTCGCCATATGGAAATAAGTCTTCGGGACATGTTCTGCAACAGCAAGTTTCTTTTCCTATCCACTTGATTTTTTAGTTGCTCTAAGAATGAGCACCCCCCACCACCACCCACCCACTTTGGGTCTGACCTAGAAAGCATTTAGAGGTCAGTTCCCAGGGCAGGGCTGACCTTACTCCATGCCAGCACAATCTACCTACTCCACCTGCCTCTTCGCCCCCATAACACTGCAGTCTGACAGGAGGGAGATGACATGCAAATACGCCCTAAAAACAGCTTGTTATTTTCACCGCCTGGATGGTGAGTGTTTGTGGGCGCCTGTGAAGACAGCACGTCACCATCAGGTACAGGGCACATGCCATCAATTTGGGGGAGGCTGTGAAATGTAAAAATACCCAACCCAAATAAAGGCCTGCCCCCGCCCCCCAAAAAAGAAAGCTCCTCCAGTGCCTTTGGTGGAGGGAAGAGGTGGTAACTCCCTCCCGGGCAAAGCTCCACTAGCCAGCCCCTGGCCAAGGCTCTTCATCAACCCCACAGCCTCAGAGCCCCAGTGAAACTCCTCAGCTACTGGTTTTAAATGGCAATTATATTGTGGAATGACCCAGAAGTGGGTGCTTTCAAGTGATGGGCCTGGGAAGGTGAATAGCAAAGGACCAAAGGCAAGGGCCCCCCATAAAGAAAACAATACTAAATAAGCCAGGAAGTGCTATCGACAGCACATTGATTTACAAAATCAATTCAGAAGAATATAATTACCATCAGCTCTCAACCTGAAATCAACAGTCTTTAGTAGGCAACTGCAGTGCACCTAATCCAGGTGTCTCAAGTGTAAATGTCTATAGTAGGGGCCAAGCAGTTAAGGCAAATGAGGACAGCTGGTGTTAACAAAAGCAAAACCAACAGTGTAAGCAAAATCAAGAATCATAGGGAAGTGCGGGGCCTGTAGCAAACAGGAGAGAGGAAAGAAGCGAAGGGCATCTCTCCATTCCATGCAGCTGCAGTTGTTGCCATGGCAGAACAGGGCACGGTGTGACCAGATCTTCCCATTTTTCAATCAAAGATTAAAATGCAAATTTTCAAGTAAAATGTTGGTTCAAGTTTCTTTTAAAATACTGTGCGGGCCAAACAAAACACATCTGAGAGCCAGATCCAGCTCACAAATGGCCAGTTTGCCACCCCAGACAAGCCCCCAGCAGCCTTTCTTTGTGTGGTACTCCCAGGGAGAGGAAGGGCAGAGTACTAGTTGCATAACATATCCGACTCTCCCCTACAGTACCCAGACACCTTTCTCCACTCAAGAGACTCTCTGGAATGTCCAGCCCTCCAAGCTCCATCCTAAAGCATGAGCCCCAGTCCGGGCACACCTTTGCCTGTGAATGCTCCCTCTCATCACAACTGCCAAGCACCAGATGGTCGGCTGCTTCTCACGTCCTCCCCCGACCCCCACTCCCAGCCGCCTCTCTTCCCGCCACCACCAACTCCTTCTCCCTTCCATGGGTAGCCATTCTGCCAGGCCTCTGAAGAGATCCCCCTGCTGTGGACCTCAGGCCTTTGGACAAATTACCAACCCTGGGGAGGTGGCTGGGGGCATGCCCTGTACTGAGGCACACCAGAGCCTGGGACTTCTGCTTCTCACCAGTCCCCAGGGAAAAGCTGCTCTTCTGCAAGTAAGGCTCATGAGAGCTGCAGCTGCAAGGGGCCTGAGGAAGAAGTGCTCCATGTGTGGGTCCCTGCAAATACCATCTAAGGCAGACAATTATGGGTAGCTGAGGCCATGCCCAGCCCTGGCAGCTCCTTGGGAAAGGAGGCCACACCACCCTTTCTCCAAGTTCCCACGTTCGGCTCCAGCCTGGGGCCAAGAGGATTAGAGCAGTGACATGACTAATGATAATTCTTAAAGATAACCCGATATTGGTATTCTCCTGTATACTTTTCAAAGCAAGTGCACAGTTCAGTTACCTCCCCTGCTCCTCCCAACACCCCAGAGAGATTGCCAGTATATTATTATTCATTATTGTTCTTATTAATCACTGTTCCCTTGCCCCTCTAAGAACAAAGAAGGAGAGACAGGTTCAGCATCCTGTCCTAGCCCAGGACTTCTCAAACTTTAATGTGTCTATCACATTCACAGGCTTCCCCAGGGGAGCTAACATGCAAATTCGGATTCAGAAGGTCTGGAGTGGGGCCTGAGATTCTGCATTTTTAACAAGCTGCTGGGTGACATGGATGCTACCGGTCCTCAGACTTCTTGTTGAACAGCAACACTTAGGTTACCAGCCACACAGAGAGCGTAGAGACTCTAACCCAGGCATCCTACCATTGGATTCTGCCTAGGAGAACAAAGTTTGCTCACCTCACTTTTCACAGGCTGGGGCCTCTTGCCCAGTTTCACCTCCAGGAAGTGCAAAGGGGCGATCATGGCCCCGATGTTGCGGATGTCGGCGTATTTCAGCTCCTCTGCAGTCAGAGCCGAACTGGGGAGTCCGGTCAGGGGGCCGAGCCCTGGCAGAGAGCCCGCAGTCACGGAAGGGTCTGGAATCTGCCCAGGCATCATAGCAGGAGGAGCAGCAGTCCAGCCTGGAGTGGGCGGGAGAAGAGCAAGACAAGCATTGTCAGACAGAAAAGGTGCTGTAAGGGGCTTAGGCCTCCATGTCTTGCCAGGACCTCATCCTTTATGTCATTCATGTCCCCCTGAACCCCTTCCCGACCCAGTTGCTCTTCCTACCCATTCTGTTATAGAGAGAAATGTGATCAATTAATTCACACCAAGGTTATCCTTATCACTCAAGGTAATGCTTAATCCAACCATAGGCCACACTGATTCAGCATTTGCTATGCGCCCGGCACTACGTGATCTTTCCATTAGCACCATGAGACTGGGTCAGTGCCCATTACACAGAGGAAGAAGCCAAGGCTTAGAAAGGTAACTCTCTCAAGACTGTACACAGTTAAAACTGGAGGAGCTGGGATTTAAACCGAAACGTACTGCCTCCCAAGAGAACGGATTATAACGGTGGAATCTCAAGCACCTTTGCACCTGTTTAAGAGAGAGCTATTTTTGGTCTGGCATGGTGCCTCCCCTCAAATCACACATCCCGTTCCGCATACTTGTTAAGACACCCTGAATGTGAAACGAAGCAAATCGAAGTTAAAGGTGAGTATGTGTGTGTGAGTGTGTGCATCTCCTATCGAAAGGGAAAAGACTGAGGCAAAGGAGATGGAATTAATTAGCACGTGCTTTCCCAGTAGAGCCCAGTACCAGAAAAGTCCTCCAGGGCCTCCTCTTCCTCAAAGCAAACATATATTCTGGCTCTGCCAGAACCAGAAGTTCTGCAAAGGAAGTCAGACTCAGGCATGAAAGAAAACATAACTTAGGTCAATACCGAGAAAATTGTTATTTTTTCCTTCTCTTTAGTGAGAGAAGCTCATAAGTAAGAAATGGTCGCTTCAAGGAATAGATGGCAATGCAGAAAGCTTGTCTGCCAATAGCCAGTCCTATCTGGTCTCTCACAGGGCTCCTACCCATCCATCCATCCATCCATCCATCCATCCATCCATCCATCCATCCGATTGTTGACCACATACTATGAGTGAGGAGGCATGGAGAAAATGGAGATCAGATGTGCACATTCTTAGCTTCTAAGCAGACTTGTAAGTAGCATTTTAGTACAAAGCTGCTCCTGGATTCCAGTCCTGTAAAGGAAATCACTTCACCCCTTCCCACCTCTTTGCATAAAGTCATAAAATCAAAACCTCGATTGTCTTGGAAATCCTGAGAGAGAAGCTTTGGTCTATCCTTCCATCTTCACCTGTCTCTTCCCATGGAAAGGGATGTATATGGCGAGATAGGGGAGATGTGACATCCACTGGACCACAGCTCTCTGTTGGGCAGAGTTAATGCACTCATATGGCCTAGCTGTCTTGGGCTCTCTGCCTCCCACGAGAGTGGCTGTGGAGGATGACCCACAACCCCCTGCTCCATTCAGGTTCTCAGGTCTAGATTTCAAAAGAGGGGCATATGCGGGGGCCTGTTTTGGCCACAAGTGCACCCTGCATTCTCCATCACCGTTTCACTTTCAAAGGTGAAATTTGGTTCCCTGTTCAATCCTGTGTCGCTTCTCAATAAGTCCTGCACTCTGAGGGGAAAAGCATGTGAGTGATTTGCACCCTCAAACCACTAAGACTTCTACTGGATATTGCTTTGTTTAAAGAAAGGTGCTTGCGAACACAGTAGATTTGCGATTTCATCCCTGGCACACTGGCCGCATCTGCCCATGAAGCCGTTGCACACAGCTCCCAGCCTTGCACCCAAGTTTACATTGGGTGCCCCAGGCTCTTTCATCCGTGCTCCACCTGCTCTTCCTCCCACACCTACCCCTCAGCTCTTCCTTCTCACCCCACATCTTTTCTCTCTCTCCTTAGCACCCAGAGTCCCCCAGGCCATTGCAGAAAAGGAGCTAAGACTCATTCACATCAAGTTATAGTCTTAGAGCTGGAGGAGGCTCTGTGCTTAAATAAACCATATTCTTATTTTTCACATGAGGACTCTAAAGCTCGGAGAGGTTAAATGA